AAGCAAGCCACAGCTAAAGGTAACAGCTTCAAAATCACTTCGATTCAAATGAATCATTTCACATTAAGTATAACAACAAAGAACTATTTTCTTTGCACGAATTAATGGGTTTTCTTTGAAGGAATTAATGAATTAATGACTTCAAAACTTAACTTATAAACGGGGTACCAGAACCTGCTCCTCCAGGAAAACTCTGTCAAATTTTCAGGACAGGTTCAAGTGCTGCTAGTAATTAAGAACTGATAGTAAATGAAGGGATAGGAAAAACAGAGAAATACCCACAATCTGCCCACGTGACTTCTTTAATCATCTACATATTTCTTTCTATTTCCATAGGGTTTTTTCATGAGAGGTGACTGCTTGCCATTGGTTCTTCAGGGCAAATTACTGAGCAGAAATCAAGAGGCTTCAATAACCTTACTTGCCTCCCATTAATTTTTATCTGCTCTCTCTTTTCAAAGCACTTTGTCCCCCCTTGTCTCTGCCCAGGTTTTGTTTTTCACTTCAATTTTCCCATTCTACAGTGCCTTTGCTGAAAATGGACTCCCCAGTGACCAAAACGGGAGCGGGTTGTAGCCAGTGGTGGGATTCAAATATTTTTTTTATATATTTTTATTTTTTGTTGTTTGTCAGAATACAGAATATTAGTAGGTTATAAAATGTTATAAAATACAAAAGCAAATAAAAAGGCATGGTAGGGAGGTAGAAAGGGCAGAGAAAAGCGAGGCAGGGTAGGGAAAGAGGGTAGGGATTCAAATAATTTAACAACCGGTTCGCCCAGGGTTAGGTTGGCTGTTGTAGGAGGCGTGGGCCATCCCTGTCCTCCTGGTCCACCGCACGTGCAGGACGAGCTTCCTGCGACGGCCAAACTGGCCCTGGACAAACTGGTTGTTAAATTACCACACCACACCACCACCACTATCAAAGTGGATCTGGGTATTGCACTGCAGTGGAGAAACAGGAAATGGAGAGGGTAGCATGAGGAAAGGAGGAGCGAGGGAGGGAGAAGAAAGAGGGAAAGCATCCTTCTCCTTCCCTCATGCCAGCCGCTCCATTGCCTGTTTCTCCATTGCAGTGCAGCGTGCGGGATCCACTTTGAGGTTTTTTTTTTGTAATTTAACAACCGGTTCAGCTGAACCAGTGTGAACCGGCTGAATACCACCGCTGATTGTAGCTTCCACAAAGACACAGCTGTTGCTGAGGCAAAGAATTGCTAAAAATGGGCTGAAATGAACTCTAAGAATACATGTCATTTAAAAAAAAGAGAGAGAAAGGAAGTGAATATAGTTAAATTTGACAGAAGGCAAAAGGCATAAAGAAAACATTACAGGTAGCCCTCATTTTGTGACTGCCTTACTTATTTATTTGCAGTAGCGACAGTGATGAAAAAGTAATTTTTCAAAAGTAGCCAATCCTCCTATTTATGATATTGGCAGTCTGTAAAGCAAAGGAAAGCTGAAATGAAATTGTAAAATCATAATGTTTCACTTATAGCAGCTGTTTCACTTAACAGCCAAACTGCCAATCCCTATTGTGGTTGCTAAATGAGGACTACTGGTAAAATCTATGTTATTATTCACATGGAAAAAAAATACATGTCTTTCGAGTATATAAGTATATAAGTGCAAAAGGTCTAAGAATTCAGTCACTGTTATTATTTTGATTTTTGGAATGTCTGTGATAACTACTCCCAATGTCACAATAGAGGTAGTCTTCGATTTATGACAATACTTGGGACCAGAATCTCAGTTCTGTGGGGTGTCACATGATCACTTTACTCAACAACTGCAATCCCGGCTCTCCCAGTTAAGTGGATTGTTAACAGATGGAGGCCCAAGTAAGAAGTGTGGGGCCTCAGGTGGGCAGAGGGCCGCATTCTCGTGGTGCTTTGGAAATCTCATTCTCTAAAGGTGCAAGGCTTGCAAGACGGTGAAATCCAGTCTCAAAAAAGAAGGTCTGGTGGGATCACAAGCTGCCTTGGATAGGCCATGAAAGTCTCTCAGCAACAGGGGGAAAAAGACACCTAAACATGAGTGATGTCATGTGGCAGATCCTGGGGTGTACGAGAAATGGGGCAAAAGGAATGGCGTGAGGCAGTATTTTTCAGTGGTAGCAGTGACACTAGTCCTGAAGTCAAGGCCTTGAGGTGGTGGCAGCTGGCTGAGAGTGCTAAGACTCTGGGTGTCTACTTTGGGCCCAGCCCTGACACTGCAGCTGTGCTGCAGTATAGAGCCGTGGTGGTGCAGTGGTTAGAATGCAGGACTGCACGGCTAAGTCATTGCTCACTCCAGAAGTTCGATTCTGAGCAGCTCAAGGTTGACTGAGCCTTCCACCCTTCCAAGGTCGATAAAATGAGTACCTAGATTGCTGGGGGCAGTAGGCTGACACTATAAACCACTTAGAGAGGACTGTAAAGCACTGTGAATCGGTATATAAGTCTAAGTGCTCTTGCTCTCTCACTTTACAGGGAAGCTTACTCAGAGAGAAGTCAAGCAAATGAGGGGAAGTGCAGCGTTCATACAGTTTTAAGTGTGTGCAGGCAGCCAAGAGCCCACATTTTTGTCATGTGATTGTGGGGGCACTGCCGCATCCATAACTTTGGGCCCAGGTCTTAAGTCCCTTCAATCAGTGCCATTGTGGTTTCAAACAGTTGCTGAATCAATGGTTGTAAGTTGAGGAATATGTTACTGTACTTGCTAATGTGGCTTTCAGCAGCACTGACAAGTATCAACATAGCAGTCAGGCACAAAAAGTGATCCATAATTGTCCTTCTCAATTTTTATGCCAGATTTATCAAAGGAAAAAGACTGGGGTGGCGGGAGACATTCATTCCTGGTAAGCATCAGTTGCTCCCCCTATCTTAATAATTTTCCAGAGCTTAATTGTTTTAGAGCAGCTCATCCCAACCTAAACCATTCTGCAAGCTGTTGGATTACAACCCTTGGGAAATTTGGGAGCTGCAATACAATTTGGACATTTGCTTATAGATGATAAGTGCTAATACCTGGCTTAGCTGCATAGTGTAAAAACAACTAGCTTAATTAATATTAGAGAAAACAAGAAACTCTCCTGAGATATAGCTGCAAACTAATGTATCAGAAAAGGGCTACATAAAAAGAACGGATAGATCAAGCAGATAAAAAAGAAAAGGTAATGCTTTATAAACAGCGGAAGCCCCACCTTTGTGTATTCGTATTTGGCTCTGTTGAGCATCTGTAAGATATCCACGTCTTTCCTGTCGCCAGAGCTGAGGCTGACTGGTGAAATTCCTATGCCAGATCCCTGTTGTGCTTTCAGTTGTTCTTGCCGAGTTAAACTGGAAGTGGAAGGTAAAAGTCAATAATGAATGAGTAAACGGGTTAATTTCCAGTCATTTCAAATGATTTAGAGCAAAGCTGGCTGAGGAACTCTGGGAATTGAAGTCCACAAGTCTTAAAGTTGCCAAGGTTGGAGACCCCTGATTTAGAGAACATTAAGAACACTTTTTTTTGGTGGGGGGGGGGGGTTTGGTGGTGGTTGTTTTTTAAACCCTATCTTAAATAAAAAGCTATGGTTTGGCTAAGGCTGATAATGTGATTTCCCCAATTTTATGCAACTGAGCTTTTAAAAGACTTCAGTCTCCCCAACTCAGTCACAGCTCATTTTATAATGGCTGGAGGTTTGAAGCTGGTGAATAGATGCAAATAAATATTTAAGTACTAGTAAATGACCAATTTCCTGCCCCAGCTGCTTTATAATTACTTCAAAGAGCTGAAAATGTTAACACACGGTGCATTAGTTGAACCACGGCATAACTTAACTAGGATGAAACATTGCTATTCCAATGCACTAAATGTATTTACAATTATATAAATATTCCCCAGCTAGTCTTTCATTGAGTTACCTTTAACTGTTAACAAGGGCAGGATGATTGGCTTCCAAACATAATTTATTAAGAAGGTGCAGTATATTTTTTGGTGTGGGATGACCTTCTTTCTCCTCAAAATTATTTTGTTATTGCTTTTAACTGGCCTGTTACTTACTATTTATTATCATATAATATTCTTGATGGACAAAGAATTTATAAATATCAGCTTCAACCACATTCTTGCTACAAAAATATGGTGTCTGTGATACCTTCAAAGCCAACAAGCTATGGAATAAATCTCCATGAATGACAGCCTACCTTGTCATATATCCTGTTTGTGGCTGAGCCCATAAGACTTTTTAAGTAGCTGTGGCAACATTACAGTTCAAATAGCAAACAAAAGCAAAGACCTTTCACATGATTTGAAGATCTCACAAATAGCAAAAATACCGCTGAGTACAAAACTGGGATTGTTACAGCAGGGCACTCAAATCAACTGAGGATAAAGTAAGACTGTCGTAAGATGCATATATGAAATCCCACCTCTGTAGGGAGCCCCTATATGGGAATTAAATAGAGCCAAGATCTATTCTGCAGGAGGGTATTCCAGAGAAGTTAGAGTCTTTCTTGCTGCCTTGCAGCTTGATGTAATAGTGAAGGGAGCATTGTAAGACACACTGGTGAAGGGCAGAGTAGAGAATGTAATCTCATTGTCACTCGAGTCCTCCTTTTCCATAATAAGAATTATGGTCCAGAAACTCAAACTTCTCTATCTCCAAAGGTGTTGGTTCCTACCACAGAAAATCAGGAAAGCATGTGTGTGTGTGTGTGTGTGTGTGTGTGTGAGAGAGAGAGAGAGAGAGAGAGAGAGAGAGAGAGAGAGTTCAGACATAAAGTAATACTTTAATTTAGGACACAAGGTACCAAGAGGGGAAATCTATTATTAATGTGTCCCAAATGCAAGCTACATCAGTAGTTTTGTTATAAGCTGGTCAGTCTTTAAGGGAGGCCTATATTGCAATGCCCAAAGTACTGAATAGAGTCCCTAGAGGTCTCTAAATTTGGCTGATGTATTGTATTTTTTAACATGATAGAAGGAAACTATATGTATATGTATATTTACATATGTATGTACATACACACACATACATACACACACACACACACACACACATATGAGAAAGAGAGAGAGAATTAATCATTCTATCATGTTAATTTAATTTAAATTTAATCATGCTTAATTTTATCTCTGTGCTACCCAAGCTTGCCATTCCTAAGCTTTCACAAATTGAAAAAAGTTTCTGTCCATTGTTGGTGCCTGCAAAGAACCAACACAACCATTCCATAACTTCCTCTATTAGTTATGGCTTAAGACAGGGTTGTTTTTTCCCGGCTGCATACTTTGCCAGCTATGCTAATATCTGTTTCAGATGAATGTTGCCAGGGCAACCTGTTATGGATTGACAACCATTTAAGATCAGAAAACAAAAAAGGCAAGTATGACAGTTCTAATAACAGAGACAAATAAGCAGGGGGCTGCCCCAAGGAGTTCTATTGGGCCTGTGTTAATTTATTCATACAGGCTTTGAAGTCTGATATGTGCAGGGAAGGCCAAAATTGCAAATGGCATGTAATTACTGAGGATATGAAATACAAAGCAGAGAAGATCCCGAAAGAATTTCCTCAAAATGAGCAAAGAATGGGAAAATGGAACATGATACTTAACCCAAAAGAAATGTGTAGACAGGTACTGGCAAAAACAATGCATGCCAAATTTGAACTGAGCATGATTAATCAAGCATGCTGAAATACCGAAAACAATAATCCAAGATCAGAAATCAGGAAATATCATGGGAAAAGAACCACTGATTTTGCACTTTACATAAATTTATCCCAGAGCTTAATTTGTAACAGAATAAACCACATTTTACAAAAAGAATGTCACAGCAATAAAGGTTTGAAAAGTGGTGGCTGAAAACACCTTTAGAGTATGTTCTGTAGGAGGGGAGCTTATGAATTTTATGAATTAAGACAAAAAAAGATTTGGGCAAATACATAGTGGGGATGACAGAATAGCAATAGCACTCAGACTTATATACAGCTTCATAGTGCTTTACTAGCACAAACTAGCAGTTTTGACATAAACTAGTAGTTTAGAGTCAGCCTATTGCCCCCAACAATCTGGGTCCTCATTTTCCAACTTCGGAAGAATGGAAGGCTGAGTCAACCTGAGCCCATCAGGATCGAACTCATTACTGTAAGCAGAGTCAGCCTGCAATACTGTATTCTAACCACTGCACCAATACAGAGAGAAGGAGGAGGAGGACAGAGGAGTAGCAGAATGTGAGATCGAAAGGACAGAGTGTGAGTCTCCTACTTACTCCCATAATAGGAGAATGTGAAGCCATCAACTAGGAGCCAGTTCAACAACAGGCCAAAGGAACTATTTGACATGAGACATACTGAGCTTATTTACCACAAGATTACAGATGATTGTTTGGCTGGTATGACTTGGGGGGTGTTTAGGAGACATTCATAGAGAACTGGCTTATTATAGCTATCTGAAACTACTATGGTCAGAGAATCTCTGTTGCTGGACATCATGTCCTTAGGAAGTGGGAAATGACAGAACCTGTTTCCTTCATATATTCTTAGTGGGTTTTTTGAAAGCATCTGATTCTTCTCTGTAAGGAAAAAGATGCTGAATCTTTGGTTAGAGCCTGCAGGGCTATTTGTGACTGTTTGTATATTGTACGGTTATCCATCACTTTAAATGCATTTTAAAAAGTATATCCATATTAGAAGAATTAACACAAGGAACCTGATCTAATTGGAAAAAGGGAGTATCTCTATGCAATAATATTTATTGCATTCAATTGAGATTCAAAGTATAAATATGCATACTTTTCTATTTATCAGAGCAAAGATCAACAGCCACTCAACCATTAAAAATGAAATGCAAAAATGATTGTGTGCCAGGAATATTTTTACTGCTCCAAAGCAACAAAATGAAACAATGCTTTTTATAATGTAATTGTATGTAGATTGATTCATGAGTAAATGTCATTTTTCAAAGAGACCCAAAAGTACTTTTTCAAGAGACAACTGGACTTTCTTGGTTTTTCCTTGAAGATGTTTCACTTCTAATCCAGGAAGCACTTTTGGGACAACCATGCCCTGGATAATTGAGAATCTCCATAAACATTTTCAAAGAGACTTATTCCTGTGTAGAAACATTCATAAGACCATAACTTTGGTTGATGTTCTGCTTTAATATGTTCTATGTCTCTATGTCAGCAATCTCAATCTAAAAGAGGCTAATGTTAAAAAGTGTATTACAGTAACGGTGACATAACATTAAAAAAAAAGATTACCATTGCCCCTCCACCCCCACCCTGTCAGTCCATCTTTGCCAACTGGCACTTACTTTTTCATCAGCTCTGCAATTCTTTGGCATTCTTCCTTATCGTAAAACCAAATTCCATAAATGGACACTGTAAATGCACATCAAACACAGATGATGAACAACAGAGCCTCATGTACACCAGCTGCCCTTTTTGGCATTAACGAGAATCAATGAACGTTGCTTGCAGAGAAGATTCTAAAGCTTTAAAAATAAGACTATAAAATTCAAACAGTTGCAATTTAGTTTCTATTCTACTACTCGATTTACCATTTATTATACGATGCAGACATGCATTCACAACATTTCTAGCAGCCAGATCCAGTTGACTGGGTGAAAAGTCCCCCACTCTGCTGTTCACAATGAACTGTTCTCTTCATAGTAACGTCTTGCATAGTTCCAGAATACTCTCTTTTAACCTGCCTGGAAAACTATTCTGTTAGGAAACGACTAGACTTCATCCATGAATTTCGTCCATTCATCATACTCTGCCTTGGTATGTTTTCTTCCTCTATTTCTGGAACCCATCTTAATACTTACCATACTCAATATCCCCATTATTCTATTTTTCAATTAAAAAGGGGAAGCTATCATTTTGCAAACCAAAGTGACATTCCGAAGCATAATCTTTATTCCTTAAAATGGTCCTAGGATCCATATAGAGACCCTAAAGCAGGGGTGTCCAACCTTGGCAACTTTAAGACTTGTGGACTTCAACTCCCAGAATTCCTCAGCCAGCTTTGCTGGCTGAGGAATTCTGG